TTGTGTAAAATTCAACATTGTCTCAACTTACATATCAAAATTACAGTGAGGAACCCACTACTTAGGCCCCGTTTGGTAGCCCATTAAAAGTGTACAGCAGTTTAAAAGTGCAATGTATTAAACGACCCAAAACCACATGAAAAGAGCAATTCAATGATTAATTGCTGTTCAAAAATACAACGGTGGTTTTGAAGGATAATCGTTTGGCATTTTGAAACCAAACTGGTCTGAGTTTGTAAACCGTACCTGAAATCAACCATGTCTGATTATATTTCTCCAACTGCGTCCATCGAGAGCTTGGATTCCATTCTCACGTTCCGAACTAAGGATTTATTCGAAGATGACGGTAACGAAGAAGTCCTTCGACAAGAGGTAGAAAACGCGATGACCGCGGCTCAAAGAATCCTTGCTGCCGAGCTAGTTCCAAAAGTCCCTTGCCGTACCTCTCAACTCAGAGGTGATGCATACGCCGTAGAAGTCTTTGAAGGTAGTCCGATTCGGTTTCAAGAAAACTGTCGAATGGATAAAACCACTTTCCTTGCTCTAATGGAAGTCCTCGATGATTACCTTGTTTCATCGATCCACATCAATACACGCGAGCAAGTTATGATTTTTCTTTACATAGTTGGCAATCACGCCTCAAATCGAATGGCAGCCGAAAGATTTCAGCACTCTAAAGAGACTATCAGTCGATACTTCAATATCGTGGCAAATGCATTAGAACGGGTTTCGGAGAAATTCATCCGTCAACCTGGTCCCTTGACGCCATGTCCACCTGAGATCGCAGGAAATACCAAGCAATATCCGTGGTTTAAGGACTGTATAGGCGCTATTGATGGGACCCATATCCCTGCTGTGGTTCCAAGTCAAAATTGTGAATTATGCCGTAATCAAAAAGGTTTCTTAAGCCAAAATGTGTTGGCGGGGTGTTCTTTCAATTTACTCTTCACCTTTGTTCTCGCCAGATTCAAAGGTTCCGCTGCTGATGGCCGAGTATTGGAAGTAGCACGGCAGCAAGGAAGATTCCTTGTACCGCCAGGTATGTCAACCTTTTCTTTTTTTTTGTTTGTATTCTGATGCTGATGTTTTTCATTAGGCCAATACTACCTTGTTGATGCAGGGTATTCAAACGAACCTGGATTTCTCGCCCCTTACCGTGGGGTTAGATATCATCTACAAGAATGGGCCCAAGGTAATTCTGGGCCCAGAGACTACAAAGAGTTATTTAATTTAAGGCATTCCAGCCTACGGAATGCAATTGAATGGATATTCGGTGTGATTAAGAAACAATTCAAGATGCTGAGCAGCATGCACTCGTTCTCCATCGAACTTCAAGCAACTCTTGTGATTGCAATGTGTACATTATATAATATAATAGTGAAACGAGGAGGAGCGGATTTCTTCATGGATGATGATGAAGCGGCTGAGCAATGGCCGAATCGAGAGATTGATGCTTACCAAGTAGCCACCGCCAATCTTCAAACACAGGCCATGGACGATAGGGATTGTTTGGCAATGAGTATGTGGGACGCTTATATTCATCATCCTTGCTATTGAGGCTGAGCATAAAATGACAGAAAGAAGAAAGATTTTTTATTTCATTTGGACACAGTTTTTTAAATAGTTAAAACAAAACATTTGGTATTTGTAGATTACAATTTTTGATAAAGATTTAAAAGTGATTTGTAATAGAATTGTAAAAGAAAAAGTGTTGATAATAATGTACAACAAGATTGTGATCTTACTTTATTCAGGATAGAGACCTGATACAGAGGACGAAGCCATAGTATTACATCCAATAGCATCAGCAAGCCAAATCCAACGTAACTTAGGAGAATTGTTGATGAAAAATTGACACATCTCCTCATTTTGGAAAAGCTTTGAAGCTTCCATTGCAACATGGTCGTTATCGAAGTAATTTTCATAGTCAGCGTTGAAGATGGCCATTGCTTCACCTTGAGATGGTACCCTGGAAGTCTTGAGGACAACAGAATGTTGTTTGTGGCGAGCTGTGACTTCGGCCAGTTCGATCTTTGCGGTGTCATGAGCAGCTACTGTTTTTGCTCGTAATGCTTCTCAATCCGCAATTGCAGTGGCTTGCTCCTTGAGGCTATTGACAGAGTTGTCCAACGAATCTGCTAGCTTGGCCTTTGTATTTGGTCTGACACGAGTGGGAGGTTTCTTGCTGACAGCACGAGGTTTGACAGCTGCTGAAGTTGTGGTCTGAGTGATTCCATCATCGGATCCAACACTTACAGCTTGGATGTCCTGATCAATTGGGTTGAGCTTATCTAGTCCAATTGAAGATCAATTTTCACTAACTTCTCGAGCTGAATCCAAAGTATCACAAGGTATTGTTAGCTTATCACTTGCTGAGTATAAAAAAAACAAAGGATATAAAACAAAAGAAAGAAAAGATGAACTTACGATTCTTTAATGGAGGTGCTATATCAAAAGCATCCTCATCACAGGAACCACCCGAATCTTCTTTTTCATTGGCCAGTTGATTACGATTAGTCGGAAGGGTTTGAGTTCCAACGATTCCATCGGCTGCAGCGTTGGTGTCGCCGCATAACTCATTCATGAGTGTATAGAGCGGAAAGGCCTTCTTCTTGTAGATAGCAGCACCTTTGTGCTTCTACAAACATTGAATGTTATATGTAGTCAGCAGATAGGTTGACTCGTGAGTAGATAGGAACCAACCTTGCAATAATCAATCCAAAATTGTGGCTCTGCCACAACCATCAAAGTCTCCTTGTCCCAACCAGCACCCAAAGCTCCTTTCAAATTGTGCACAATGCCGTATTGTGTTTTCAACTATACAGGTACCATAATAACAAGGACAGATTAGTGAGCAAGAATCAAAAAGAAATAAATAAAATTGAAGAGAAAATAACTTACGGTTTGGAAGTGGTTCTTGAGCTGCTCCCGGATGAGATCGACCTTATAACGTGTGTTGTATTCCTTCAACACATTGTTCCAGGCCTTGTGCTTGAATCCTGAGTCGGCCTTCTTTCCCGCAAGCTTTTGAACGATCAGTGCATCAATGAGCACTCAAGACTTTGCGTGATTCCAGTGTGGTGGTGTCAAAACACGTTCGGATTGACTCGGTTTATCGACTTGGGTAGCTTTTGGCATGTTGCTGGCTTGGAGTTGAGGAAAGGTGGAATTGGAAAGTTTTTGAAAAGATGATGATGGGTGTTGGATTCAAAGGCAAGGAAGAGAAATTGAAAATAAAAAAAAGACGTGAGGGGGACTGGAAGGTGTGCGAGGTAGGGATAAAGTCAAAAATTCGACAAGTTCCCTCTTCACGTACGGAATTAAAACAGATTATTGAAAATAATCTCAAAAAGGCGATTATGAAAATACCTCATTATTAGAGATTATTGACCAAATAATGTCATTCAATAATCTCTAAATTTGGGCTACCAAACGGCAAAAATTATTTGGCGATTATTATTTTGCAATTACAAATATAATTCAAAAAATAATCTCTGCCAAATGGGGCCTTACAGTTCACAAACAATACCCAAAGCTGGCTTTTGGAAAATAAACCTAGCTGGACAGACTGTATTCACATCTGGGCTGCTGTGAAAGGCTATGACTTGGGAATGATCATAAAAATTGTATAACTTTGACTGAAGGTATCTCTCATAACCAACAATTTTAGGAAAAGTGCAGAGTTGTGCAGAGATATGAAGGCAAACCCTTTGTGCTGGATTCTCAAATATGTTTTTTCATGTCTCTTTGACCTTTGTACACTGAGTGGAATTGTTCAAGATATTCAATTGCAAAGTCTACTTACCTAGAACAATCAAAATATGTGATGAAATTTTTATTTTTTTGATTGAGCTGTGTCAACTGAAAACACTTGCTGGCTCTGACCTGAGGCTGTGAGGCCTGAAAACCAGAGGATAAGTTGATCCCAGATGATTAATATCCAAGTAACTGTTTGATGGATGTGACATTCAGAATTGCCAACCACAAGAGGCCACCAAAGATTGAACATAGGCTGATGCACCACATAGCCTGGTACCTTTTGTAAAATCAGGCTCTAGGTAATTTGTTTGTGGACTCTAGGTAGTGCAATCTTTGGAGGAATACACTTAGTTGATATCTGAAATTTCAACGTAAATACCACCGTACCTGTCAAAAAGCATGCTTATTGAACAGGTAAACATACATGATATATGGCTATGATTCTGTCCCAACCTGGCTATATTTTGAGGCCAGGCAGTCCACACCCTGACCCCTTTGAACCCAACAGAAGGAGCCCTGCAGGTGCCTTGGTGGCCCTGACCCGGCGGGTGTCCGAGTAGATAAACCTGAGATAAACACGGTTAGTAGATGTCACCAACAGGCCAAAGTGGAACTCACATAAAGGAACTATTGCAACATTGCCCCAATATCATCGAAATTGAGATACAGGTCTGCTGTTATGAGATCTGCTGTTGGAAAAGGTTTATAAGCGCTTGAAGACAACTGTCAAGGTTCAAAGCCATTTAAAGCCATGACAAAGAGGAGACAAACAGTCAAACATGAAAAGGAGATGAAATTCAACTAATGTATACAAAGGCAGTCACACAAAATATCTGCAGCAACAACTGTACAACACTTACCAGGGGGAATGTGAGTACCCTGTATCTTTTTGGATCTTAGATTTCCAGGAGAATTTCCAGAATGCCAGAAGCAAAAATTTGGAGTTTTACCCGCCAAATTTTGGCCTTCTGGCATTCTGTAAACTGTTCTGGAAATGCACAGAACACATATTTGATTTATTTGTTGAAAATCCTGAATATTCTGCCACAGGGATGCCAAAACATGTAAACTTTTCACATTATTATGATTTGAGAATCCAATTTACCTGCTTTGCTTTGTGTGATTATCATGTGGTTCACTTCTACTACAGCCAGAGCGGAGAAAGGTATTGAGTAGATACCCTTTTGTTCTACAATATTGATGATTTTGAACCACACAAGATGGATAAACTCCTCCTCTATGGCCTTATGGTCTAGTAGTATGATTCTCCCTTTGGGTTATTGTCTTGATTGGGAGAGGTCTTGGGTTCAATTCCCAATGAGGCCCATGTTTTTGCTGATTCCACATGAAGCAATGGGGTTCTGATGCAGACAATCATTGATCATTATACCAAAATACTTGCAAGGTATAAGATGGTATTTACTTGAAACATCAGGCTTGTTGCAATGGGTATTGGACCTTTTGTGTGCCAATATGTGGGCACCCCGTTGATTTTGTATCAAAGCCAAGTGTTTTAGCTGTGCAATAAACATGACAAGAGATGATAATCACAGTCATTAGATCTTCAAAATTTGGTAAGTTGAATGAGATAAGGGAAGGCAAAAAAGAGAATCATTGAACACTTGCCTGGTAAGATATCATATAACTGGATGATAAAGCCAGGAAGATAAGTCAGATGAGAACTTGGTTTGCATAGAAATGGGTCATTGGGAAGCAGGTTCATTGGTTTTGGGATACTTGTTATGGCTTCTTCAAAATCAGGATGGAGTTACTCAATTCTAACTTCTTCTCGGTATCGGACACCACACTTACAACAAGACAGTGTGTGTGTAATTTCCGACTGATCTTCGCAATTTCACATCACATCGTCTGTCTTTGTTCAACTTGTTGACATCAACATTACGCACCAATGCCCGCGCGACCACCGGGTCCCAAAACCGCTAGATCCAAGGGATCAGCCGAAGACGAAGACGTCCAAAGAGAAGCTCGCCATAACCCAGGAAATGACCCTCTCGCAATCTCTCAAGAGGTCAGCCTTTTCAGCTTTTTGCACACATGATGAGGTCCTCTTATCGTTGGATTTCTTGATTGAAACCATCTAGGCTCTCAAGTCGGCGATATGGTTTGCTATATTCTCGTTTATCTCGATTGTTTCAGTTCGCGCTGATCGGGCTAGAGTTCCTTCTCATCAGGTATACTGTCGCCCAGATCGTTCAGGAAGAAGAAGTTGATCTACCACGATCAGCAACGGAGCCATTTGTTGCCTCACTGACCGACCTTGTCTATGCACAGTGTGGTACGTGTATTTGCTTCACATCCTTCGGTTCTCGTACTGTCTTGTGGCTGACTAGCTCCAGGTCAGAGACGCTTGCATTGGATCTGAAAGCCTTTGCGGCTCATGCCAATCGTAACACCATTCGTGCAGAGGACATCAAGCTGGTGGCCCGCAAGACGAGTGCATTGGTAAGTCTTGATGTAATTTAATCCCAACAGCATATTGTAAACTAATTAAACATCTCTGGTCTGGGTGGCTGTGTGTACGGATAGCAAGGGGAGATGAGAGACGAGCTCCAAAGATATGAACAGGCATCGAACACTGATAAAAGTACCAAGGCAAAAGCGGCTTTCAAACCACCTGCTCCTCGTCCCTAAAGCCAAATCCTAACTGGGCCGTTGCCGTGCTCCATGAGCTCCAAGCCCTTGCCGACTACGCGGAAGCTTTTATAATCGTCGAGGTCACATCGGTGATGGGCCACCCAAATCATCGCTGGAGAACACCGACTCTTCAAGTTCAATATGATACACGATCTGTTCAACGTTAGAATTCGATCCAATTACAACTTCCTCCGGTCCCATGTCTACAATTTCCACCAGCTTTTGTCTGCTTGTCTTGAAGGAAAGGCGGAATTGCGTTATGTTGTCCGACATCTCGAAGTTTTTCGACATGATACATGCGCTGCCACGGTGTCCTCACAAACAACTTTCAACCTTGTATTCTTCACTTTCGAGCTGGCCATCAATACTTCGACATCTCCTATCACTACATTGTGTACTATCATCTTTAACTGAAAATTTGAAATATGATAGATCTTCAATATTGATGAACTCGGATTGAGCTACTCGAGATGCCGAGACGAACACATCCCTAGCCTTTTGAAGCGTAACTTATCCATCAATCGTTGCGTGTGAGCCTTTGGATGGGCTGGAGAGTTTCTCAATTCGCCATATCTCCTTACTCTGTTGCTCAATATCATCTTCATCAATGAACAACTTTGTTCGTCTGCTAATCCTACATATACCTTTGAGTCTCATCATCGGAGTGAGGTAAGCACCAACAAACTAGTATTTTCTATAACATCTCAGCCTCTCGACTCTGGTGCGAGCTAGTTGCACATCTTTCTCAGAGATTACAGTTGATTGCAAAATGGTTGACAAGAACTTCAGGCCAAATCACTTGAGTCTGGCGGGCAAACCTCGGTTGACCTCTTTGAAATTGACTGTAAACTGTTTTTTAAAGACTTCAACCTCTCATTACCATGCAATCAAGTGATACAATACGGATACATGGATGTGTGTAGCATCAGTGCGAGATTGCCACTGAGGATGCTCTTAAGTCCCTCTCTCTCGACCAAGTTGTACTTTAGGTTGAACATGACACGTCAACGAGGAGCCAAGTTCCAACCGTTTAAGGTCTAGGATAGCTTAAGGTACTTAAGATAGCTTAAGATGGTCTGTTTACTGTATTCCAAAGGGTGGTTTGCCCAAAGAAATCCGAAGATCGAATCAGATCAGATCATTCAACTCAAAATGCTCGCTGTCTACGTCTTTCTTGTTGTCTTCTCAGGTCAATTGATAAGCTGGATTGGTAGTACTCAGCTTAGCGAATGGGTAAGAATCAAATACCAATCTACTTCATCTTCGCCTACAAACTTGGTTGCTGACATCATCTGGCTTTCCACAGGCTCATACCATCTATCTCTTCCTTACTCGTTCACCACTCGCTCGAAATCAAAAAAACCTTCGTGGTACGATCCTAAAAACAAAATCAGAATTCCACGCCACCTCATCTCAAGATGAGTTCGCTAAATGGGCAAGACTACGTCGAAAAATGGATAAGGAGCTACAGGAGCTTGATAACCTTAGTAGGATTTGATCTCTTTCATCGCTTTCACCACATAACCTATCATTCAAATTGACACCTTCAATTTCCCTTCCGATGCTGATCCTTGAAAATACACTTGCTTCTTTTGTCGGAATCGTAATGGCAAACTTACTTAGATAAACAAATAGCATCTGATCGGACCCAATTCACAGCCCTATTCTCAAGCGTCCTTTGGGTCTTCACCTCGGGTCTTCAATTCGTCCTGATCTCGTGGTATAGGTCTAGTCCTGTGCTTTTGTTACCACCTGGCTGGTTCCCTCCGACCATCGTCTGGTTCCTCAGTCTCCCATCTGCTCCATACGGTTAGCTTTCGGCATTCATCTTCATCACTTTCATGTCTTCGGCTTCAATTGATATAAATCTTTGAATCTGCTTAGGTGCTGTTTCTACTACCGTCTGGGCACTTGTTTGCAAGCGGGCGTTATCAGTTCTGGCCAAGATGATAGCCGACAGCCTTGGTATCTTCTTTGGTCAGTAGCCCCTGAGTCAGATTTCATATCTCTTGATCTGATCAGACGTCGTTTTAATTCCTCAGGATCTAAGCCAATGCCGGAGTCACCTGAAAAGCCCGTTGCGCACTAAATCATATCAGACGAGCCGAAAGCGGATTTTAGAAAATCCCATCAAGCTGAACAACACATGTGCCATGGACGAATCTAAACCTTGCAACTCGCCGATGCGTCAAAATCCGCGGAGGAAGGAAGCTTGGCCTGTGAATTGATAGCTTTGCACGTCACCAAACATCTGGCCTCACAATGGACGTAAAGTATCCCAGTGAATATGGAGCCTAGATCAAAGGATTTGAGTAGAGGAACTTTAGCTGATAAGCCAAGACTTAAAGTTAATCAATCTGGTCGCGGAATGCACTTTGTCTTCTGGTACCGCAGCTCATCTATATTCCTCAGACTCTTTGATGTATCGAGTCTTTCTAATGATCGTGACGCGAGGATCATGTGAATCTGCCCGTTTCAAAACAGTTCTTCAATCCTATCTTTGGTATACTTGAACTCACCATCGATAGAGTATCAGTCATCTAGACTTATGGTCATAGTTTGGTATGCCCAAAATATGAGTTCACAGTGCCCATGCTTGTCTGTTTGATTTCTCTATTGGTAAAGGTCATATTGAGAGTCTACACATTGTCTCGAACCAACCAAAAAAAACTGCCCTGCTAAAGTAAAAAGCCAACAAGATTTCACAAGATCATGAATTCCAAAACAGTTGTTCATTCTCCTGAGTTGTGAATAGATGAACTTTACTTGAGTTGAACTTCTCTTACATCTTTTGACTCAATCATGAGATTTTGATAAAATCAAACATTCCGGAGAAAATTCGACCATCACCAATTCTTTCTTGATACCTCTTGACTTATCTAATGACTGATCTGGGATTATGAAGATTTATTCTCATCTTCATCAACTTTTGATACGTTCAAATCGATTCACTTTCCAGATCTGTAGGATCCATTCCTTTGGTGAACTTGAGTTTTTTTTCTTCACCCTTTACCTTCAATTCTTCCTTTTAAATTCTTCCAGTAAAGCTCTCTCGGGTTCTCGAAGAACGATGGAAGTTCGCAATCGATACCTCTGCATACACCAGACATTTGGCTCTACCTGCTTAAGTCTCAAATTCAGATCACGCCTCGGAGCAAGAATTCGGAAATGTTTCCTCCGAGAGTCTGAGAGTTTGAATGAATTCGAGATCAGCCCGGATTTTCGCAATCCGAGGTAGATACTTACTTACATATCATCTTTCTGAAGACTCTTGGAGTTGCTCTGGGCCTTCAGGAGCTTTCGCTATACTGTCCCGAGTAGAGTTAAATAAATGGATTCCTTCTTGGTGATGAGTTTGTTTTATTTTGTAACTTGCATCTCGGTATTATCGGTACCGAATTTGAATCTCATGGGTGAATTCGATCAATCAAGTTTGTAAATCGAATGGAAAACGGAGCAAAAAGAAACCCACAATCAAGAAATTTGACTGAGAATTTGGATCAAGTCATCGAGTCATTCTGTTTATTCTTTCCGGCAAGAAAACCTCCTGATCCTTTACACAATTACACCCAATTCAAGTAACAATCATCTCTTGAGAAATTCAATTTTCAAATTCATCATTCTCCGCTTTTTTGATTCTCCGTCCTCCGTTCCTCCGTCCTCCGTACTCC